AAATTGAATTTATATTATAAATATCAAATGCGGAAGCGAAGTCAAAATTTGAATAACATCCCTTACACTAAAACCAAAAACGTGCTCACAAAATATAAAAGATTAAACTACCTAAAGGAGAAACTTGAAAGTAAAAACTACGAATGTGACTATGAAGTCCTTAGGCGTCCCCTTCATCGTCCTTCTGCGGAACCGGCTCGGGAACGATGTCCTCTTGATCTGAAATGATTAAATAAGGAATGAGCTACACTAGCCCAGTAAAGACATCACGATATCTCACCGTCACGGAGGTAAAGGTGGGTAGAAAACACAAAAAGACCAATGGAGCATAATTTACAACAAATCCTTTTATTAATAATAAAACCTTTACCATTCACTTATCTCGGTGAAATTCATAAAATAATATACGAAAGCAATAACATCATCATCATCATGAAAACATATATATGAACTGTATAACATAATACCTATCAAACTTTTCGTAATTCAATCGTTACACAACATATTTTCCTAATTCACCAGCCCACTAGTATCCATGGGGATCCATAGGGGTCCCGCTACCCGTTAATGCTTAACACTTGAAATCCATTCCAGGGCCGTCCCCATACCCCGTCCGGTATGGGCGCCAAACCATAGACCTCATTACCCCGTCCGGTATGAGGGTGAAACGGGCTGTCTCCATACCCCGTCCAGTATGGGCGCCAAAACACATAAGATCTCCATACCCCGTCCGGTATGGGAGACCACAATTCCGGTAGGGTTCCCTACGGACCCGGTCCGTCCACCATCTCCCAGGATATCTAGTCAGGCTGAACACATTATACAATTTCCATTTACATAATCTTTCATTCTCCTTTTCCCTCAGTCAGCATTATCAATCACATACAAACAAGCAAAACGATAATTTATGCCAAACAGACAACATACAGCATCAATATCCCGGTCATTCAATCCATAATCAATAAAACAGTAAAATATGCACACGAAATTATAAAATGAAAACATCGAACCTCATGCTGCATTTAAAACTGTAAAACAGGCCAAATAACAGTTAACCGACAAACACATTAGACTCGGGCTCCATTAGCGACCTTAAGCAATTTCACACATTCGTTGATTCATGAAATACCGTTTTATCATTTATTGAACTTTAAAACCGTGATAGGAAATAGGGTGAGGGGTCCTTACACGTTTCGGGGTCCGAACACGGCTTCACAGTGCGCATACAAGCTGTCCCTAATTTTTCCTGAATTTTTCTCGAGGAACTGAAACGCACTACTAGTACCTGCACATGTTCCAAAAAATCCCAAATTAGGCCTAGGGCCCCTTTCGGCCAATATCGCAACTCCGGCACGGCGGCTCCGCCGTGCTCCGGCGACGGCGCCGCCGCTTGTGGTGGCGGTTTGCCTCGGGTTGGCCGTTTTCGGCCGTTTCCGGCTGAATTCGGCCACACTCGCATTGGTTCCTGCGATAAAACAACCCTACGGCCCTCGGGGGGCCGAAAATTTACGGAAAACCGAAGCTTACCGGCAGCGGTGCTCTCGGGTGCGGCGGCTCTCCGGTGAAGTTCGTGTTTTGGTGATTCGGCTCCGATCAACGTGTAGAGAAAAGAATGGTGATCACGGTGATATAAAAATTACATTAAACGGAAGCCGGGAAGGGCCTCATCGGAGGCAAAAACCGAGAAGGGGCGCGGCGGCGCCGCTGGCTTTCGGCCGTGTTTTCTGACCGTTTGGCCGGGATTTTGGCTCCGATTTGGCCACTGGGGAAATCAGCGTAGAAAAACGAGTCGGGGGTATGAAATTTACCTCGATCGGCGGTCGGAAATCCCTCTGGTGCGGCGGCGGGTGGCGGCGGCCGACTTCTGGTTCGTCTTCTCCGGCGAGGGCAGGCGGCTAGGGTTTGGGGTCTGGTGTGGGGGTCTTATTTATACCCTTTTGCCTTTTGATCTCAGCCGTCTATTTTGATTTAATCTGGGCCGTCCGTTTTTGATTAAATATGGGCCGT